CACATTCGTGAATTTCTAAAATATCTTAAAAATTTAGAATTATAAAAAAATTGACTAAATATATATCAGGTTAACACATCAGTCAGCGACAATATTATTGAAAGATCAAAAATTATTTTAATATTTATATAATTAAATGAAAATAAAGTAAAAAATAAACATGTAAAGTGTATTATGTAAATTTACACGTGTTTCCGATTAAGTAAATAAACAACGATTCCACTGGCCGTCTGTACCAATTATATATAGGTTGATACCTTTCAGTGGGTAATGACCGTAGAAGGCTACCTGCTAATCTAAAATTATTATTCTAATTAAATCTCTTGCTGGATATCCCAATTCTTCCTAAGTAATGAAGCTAAATAAGAAAAATAAAGAGTCATAGCCAACTGGTCTTTGTAACCCACATGTAGTACCTTTTCCAGCAAGGGTTAGATTATTCCCGTTCGATTAAATCTAAAATTATTATTGCCGAAAAATTATGACATTAATAGGAAGTCTGTACAGTCTATTTTACATGCACATAAATTTCATCCATACAAAGTTCAGACCTACCAAGAATTATCTGAAGATGATTTTGATCGCCGATTAGAATTTTCTGAACAGAGAAAATAAAGACTCAACACATTTTTTTAGAATTTGTTATACTCAGTGATACTCTATTTAAATGTTTATGTAAACAGGCATGATTCTCTAATCTTCGGTCAGATTGTAATCCAACTGGATAAAGGAGATTCAATACAATATCCAGAAAAAATTAATAACTGGACTGGTTTAGTAAAAAAACATTTAATTGCACCTCCAGATTATCAAAAGGACATTAGGCAATATTTAAATACAATTTTACCTCAGAGATGCATTGGTCGAAGGGGTATAATAGAGTGTCCGGCAGGATCACCCGATTTAACACCACTTGATTTTTTTTATGAAGTTACTTAAAAAACCGCGTTTATATTGACAAACCAACTAACCTAAATGATTTAACAGATCGCATACGTTGTGAAATGCAGTTAGTTACTGTAGAATTGATTAAAAATTTTATTCGCACCTTTCACGATAGATTGTATCATTTCAACAATAAAATGAACACACTTTAAGCACTAACTGTAAAGAAAAATTATAATTTAGTTCAATTTACTAGTATTATGAGTTGTAAAATACCATGTGTATAAAATTAAATGTTTAATATTTTTAACAAAGTTTCTTCAATAATTTGGTTATTAATTTACTATTTAAAGTCCATAAAATTTATGTTCATTTTGCTCATTTTTGTATTTTCAAGGCACAACGTCTACTTTGAGGTCGAAGGGTATGAACCGTTAGCAGGGTTCTAGACTAATAAACAAAGCAACATTCTAGTTTTAGCAATAATAAATGCATATATCTGTTACTTTCCGTAGCAAATTGTGTCATATTAAGCCAGTGCCTTGTGAGAGTGTGCCTTCTTTTTCATCTTTGGTATAGATACCATTTTAAACCAAAGTTTAGTAATATCAAAAGAACCAGTAAGATGCAAACTAAAGATTAAAAACAAAATGGTAGAGCAAGTAATGAAATTTAAATCTTGGAATCAATTTATCAAGTAGCAACAATAAAACAATAAAGCCAGAGCAAAAGTAATAAAACCAAGTAGAATAGCACGGTGCTTATCGATATACTATAAAAAGCAAACATCTAAACTAATACAATCAGAAGATACCTGAAACAAACGAAATGAGAATTCTATGAAGAATAAGGGAAGAGACACTGATGCACAGATCAAGAAATAAGTACATCGGAAACACCTGCTGCATAGGCATAAATAAATAAGTGTCATTTTGAAAGGAAGAATGAATTAGTCACATTAATAAAATAGCAGAACATAGAATATTTAGGAGAGCTTGAGTTAATTCAAGAAGATAAAACATAAAAAGAAACGGAATTACAATATTCCAATAGCATAAAAGACGAAGAAACCAAATGCCCAGATTTGTGTTGACTACCGGCTTATAAGCTTGATCAATCATGTCACTAAAGCGTTCACTAAGATCATTCGTAGAAGAATATGATAAATGTGAGTCAAATATTGATAGATCGCAGTTTGGTTTTCGGAAAGCACTTGGAACTAGAGAAGCAATTTTCGCTCTCCAGGTGCTTATACAGCGGTGTAGAGACGTTGATAAGGACGTGTATTTGTGCTTTGTAGATTTTAGAAAAGCATTTGACAATGTCAATCATGTACAATTGATAGGTATTCTGCGAAAGACAGGTATTGACGACAAGGACATTCGAATTGTGGCAAACCTATACTGGGGTCAAACAGCAAGAGCAAAAATTGGCAACGAACTCACTGAAAGCGTGCAGATCAAAAGAGGTGTCCGACAGGGGTGTATATTATCCCCACTCCTATTCAATATGTATTCCGAGGAAATATTTAACAAATGTATGGAAAATGCAAATGAGGGCATAAAAATAAACGGCGAGTTAACGAACAATATAAGATATGTCGACGACACGGTGATCCTTGCCAGTACGAATTACAACAAGTAATGGAAAGACTTTATTCAGTTAGTGAGGAATACGGTCTGAGCCTCAACTTCAAGAAGACAAAGTGGATGCTGATAAGCAAAAAGCAACAACCTGCTCGACAATTACGGATAAGTAACATACTAATTGATCATGTAGAATCTTATGTGTACCTTGGCACCAACGTAAATGCAAAATGGGAACAGACCATAGAAATTAAGGCGAGAATAGAACGAGCTAGAGTAGCATTTAGCAATATGAAAAAGCTCCTCATAAGCAAGGATTTGCCTCTTCCCCTAAAACTATGTCTAGTTAAATGCTACATTTTTCCGATCTTGCTGTATGGCGTGGAGGCCTGGACGCTGACGGAGACGCTAACGAGGAAACTAGAAGCATTCGAAATGTGGGTGTACCGACGCATTCTTCGTATATCCTGGACCGAACATGTCACCAACATAGAGGTACTCCAAAGAATCTACCGTGTTGTTGTAATTGGTAGTCTAAAAATGGTAAGGTGCATTGATATAGATCTCCGAACGTTATATTTCTATTTCTGTACATATTTCATTTTGTATACTGAAATCGGGTTTTGTATAAATAGGGTAAATATCGCGTGCTGCTTTAATACTATATTGCAAACAAATGGTCATAATGCATTTTTTAAGAACATTCACTGATTTTATCTAGATATTTTACAGCAACTAGTAGTTACTACTTTTTTAAAAACCTGAAATCCATAAGTATTTTTTCTCTACTAGTCTTTGTATTTGTTGTAAGCGATTATTTGCCGTAGAGTAAAAAAATAGTTTAGGCGTATGTAAGTTAAAAATAAAAACATAATTAGACCATGGTTTTCCCAAAACACTCTTTGATACATGTATCTAAGAACTGCTTTTGATCAATTTGCCGATAAAAATATGTAATAAAAAAAATATGAAAAAAACTAAACGTCAGTTTTTACTTATAAACAATATACAAGGTGGTCCAGAATTATGTACATTAATTTCTAGAGCTAGAACATAGTACGTCCAAAAATAAGGGTACTTCTTTATGTACACTTTTTTATGAAACTGAATAATAAGGGAGATACAACCCTTTAAAGGGGTGAATTTAAACTCTTATTTTTTCAAATATCTTCCAAACGGTTTTGAATACGGAGTTCATATTTTGGGAGTGATTATAAGACATTAGGATAATTCATTTCATGTCACCACCTACCACATCCTATATTAATACAGGGTAGTTTTGGAGGGTAAGTGGGGGTTATTGCGTCACATGTTTTTTAATTTTTACACTCACAAAACTCCGTATTCAAAACCGTTTGGAAGATATTTGAAAAAATAAGAATTTCAATTCACCCCTTTAAAGGGTTGTATCTCCCTTATTATTCAGTTTTATAAAAAAGTGTACATAAAGAAGTACCCTTATTTTTGGACGTACTATGAGCTCCAGAAATTAATGTACATAATTCTGGACCACCTTGTATAAACAACGTAAAACCGCTAGTTTTTTAATGTTGATTTTAAATAGTAAAGGTGAAGACCGGTTTTTATTCGAACTGTTTTCATTTCTATACGAATTAAAACAAAAATTGTCCTGCGACCCTTAAAACCGAGTTGGCCTTTTTTTTTCAAAAATTGACCGGGGCTTTGTTTGTAAACATTAAAAGACATTTAAAAAGCACCAATTAAAAGATTAAAATGTACATGTACACGTTTTGAGTAAAAATAACGCAAAAAATAACGTAAAAATAACAAAGTTTTAAGATTTTTTGATGTTATAGTTGGGCCTAAGCAGTCTAAAAATTTTTTTGGTCTAGAAATTTGTAATGCAGAATAACCATCTTAGCCGAGTAGAACGAAAATTACTTTTCGTTATTTACCATGATGCCCCACCTATAAAATCTGAAAAAAATCATGAAGATAATTTGACATCCAACCAATATACATAATTTTTTTGAAGTGGCGTTCGAGACAGTTTTTTTTAAATGAATTTTAAAACTTTGAAGCTTTCAAATATTTGAATTTTCCGCTAAAAATTTTGTAAAAAATACCGTGATGTAGACTATTAAATATCCTACAAACTTAAAAACAGAATAAGTTCCTACCATAATTACAACCGAAGATATCGTCAAAAAAAAAAACGAAAAAACCAGTTTTAAGTTTTTTTGAGGTTATGTATGTCTAGAAGTCTAAACCTTTTCTTGGTGGCATACTTTTGATATAGAACAACATGATGTTTTTATTTTTGGATTATTGTGAGAGAATTTGACTATCTTAACCCGCTAGAACGAAAATGATTTTTCGTTATTTTGACCATGATGCTCCACCTATGAAAATCAGAAAAAAATCATGAATATTCTTATCGCCAAATTTATCAATAGCTGTTGCTATATCAAAGGGAGTACCGAAAAAGGATTTTTTGCTAATTTCTCTGTTCTGAATATACTTATTTCGATACAAATAATATTTAAAATACTAAAATTTTTAACTTACTCTATCAACACCAGCACTAAAACCTGCTTGACAAGATCCTTGTCTATGGTATCCCCAGTTCACTGAAACAAAAAAAGTATAAGAATAACAAAAAATATTAGTATTACATTTTAGGTTTTTGTTAATCTATAAACTGTAACTGATTTAATCCGCCAGGACTCACGTCTACTTTTATAACGTAAGAACTCTAGACAGGTTCTATAGGTACAGAGTCTGTATAGAAATTTTTTAATAGCAACACCAACTTACGTATATAATTTTTGCTATGTTAAGTTTATTCATTAACAATAAAAAAAATTATTTAAGATTGATATACATTTAAAGCTCGAAATTTTAACAAAATAACTCTTGAATGAAAAATATTATTGCATTGAAGGCAAATAAAAGTCGTTCTGGTTGTATGTTCTTTACATATTGGAATGGGAATTTGACATGTATTGCATATTATGCTCAATTTAATTTTTATAGTAGAATAAAAACAGTATCTAGGCCTCTTATTTCCAGGATTTTCTGATGTTGATTGTTTGGAATATGTCTTTGAATTTTTCTTTGGTCAATTCATAAAATCCAATTAATTTGTATTCGAAGATTACTATAAAAAAATAGAAGAAGGTTCTTAGAAGATACGGAGGGGTAAGTTGTGTTGACAAATTGGAAATAAAGGCTCTTTAAGTCAAAGAGATATTTGTGTTACTTGTATAAATTATCTGCGAATTAACGGTCGGTATATTTAGCATGCTGTAAAAAATGATTAAAGGATATTGGTTGATTTTCGATTCATAGAATATTCTGGTTTCAATCAGTCGACGAAATTAACTCCTTCCATTATGTTGTAATGGGTAATAGTCTCTTGTTTATTTTGTTTCCATTTGGGATCAACAGCGTCATCTTCGTAAAGAGTGGAATTAGCACATTTTGAGCACATTTATATTCCTCTTAGGATTGGATAATGATTTGATGAAGTTCCAAACGCAGTAAGCATAGAGCTATGTACAGGTCTATTTTTTACTTGAAGAAGACGCGGTGGAATTTGCGGTTTGGTTGTTCCTAATATGTTTACCAGTGTGAATTTATAATTGTCAAACAAGTCATTACCCATTTGTATAGAAGTGAAATAGTTATTAACTGTAATGTTGCGCCCAAATTTATCAATAGTTTTAATTAGACGTTTAATAATTACTTTGTTGACGCTATTAGGGATGTTCTACGTACCATCGGTCTTTTTTCCAGCATTCATGTATATACAGTGTGTTTCAACAAAAATTTGATAAGTTTGAAACTACATGTGACGTCAATAACACAAAGCACGAAATAGACCGTTGAGTGCGAAGTGAAGCAGTTAAAGTGGCGGTATTGGGCCATTTCAGTGGCGGCTTTTCTTTATGTGCTGCTGAGCTGCAGAACTACCAAACAACCATAGCAAATCTTAATTATTAAAGAATAATTAATATAGTTTTATTTCAAATCTGCCATATTATCATATTAAACATAAACTGTTAATAATAATTCACCAACAACGATGATTAATATTATTTTTTTTACGTATTTACTCCTCTAGTGAAACCGTATAATTTTTTTACGTATTTGGTGCTCCAGTGAAGCAATCTTTTTACGTATTTGCTGCTCCAGTGAAGCCGCGTCGATAACAACCGAAACACTGGCAGCGGTAAAATGCATTTATTAGGCAAACGGCGATCTTAGCCGATGTGCTTCGGCAATCGGCTGATTAACGGCCTCGGAAATGTGTTTGCGAGCTGCAATTCACGACAGTTATTCGTGACCTCAAAAACAATACAAAATGATATTTTGGATTGCATGCTAGAAGTATACGCTGAGGAGATTTTAAACGAAATCAATGAAGCCCCATTTTTAGCAGTGATAGCTGATGAGACAACGGATTAGTGATGTAACAAATGTCATTTTTTAAACATTCGCGAATGCGAATATATGCCACCGACATTCGCGAATGCGAATGCGAATATTCAGTTTTTTTTAATTTGGCAATTTTAATTGTCTCCGGCACTGCCGGCAGTCTCATTTGCGCGAGGTGTGTAGGCAATTGGAAAAAGTCTGTCATTTTTAACTGCTTTAAATTGTCCAGTATCATTCTATCATATTTGCTAAAGTAAAGATGTGAAACAGTTGCATTTATTGTAAAGAAGTTTATTGTAGGCGGTTAAGTTTATTGAGGGGTCGTTTAAAAAGGTATTTAGTATTTATTTATAGTCACGCCCGGGCCAAAAACCTGGAAAGCACGTTTTTCGATCTTATTTTCTCTTATTATAATCAAATTTGACTTGTTATAGAGAGAAAGTTATAGCAGAGAACTAAGTTCTCTGGTTACAGTTCCAATAAAAATTTCACGGGACACAAGTCACTCCACTTGCCCTGCTCTGCTCGTGCACAAATACAAGTGAATTTTTAGTTAAAGTGTGATTAGCGATTTATTACTATGAGTAAATCAAATTATAGTGAAATATGGACTTATTTTTCACCACTTTTCGATACTGAACGAGCTAAATGCAAGCTGTGTAATATTCGCAAAACATTCGCACAAATTTTGCGAATGCGAATGCAAATGCGAATATGCAAAAATATGCGAATATTCGCGAATGCGAATGCGAATGCGAATATTCGTTACATCACTACAACGGATGTTTCTATGAAATTTCAAATGGTCATTGTTTTTCGTTATGTAAAAAACGGTGCTCCAGTTGAAAGGTTTTGGACTTTTTTGCTTCCAGAAAAACATGATGCTGAAACCTTAGCTAACACAATTTTGAATGTTTTAGACCCAATATTAAAGAATAACAAAAATAAGCTCATTGCACAAAGTTATGACGGAGCAGCTGTTATGAGTGGGATACATGGCGGAGTGCAAACAATAATTAAGAGAAAATATGAAACTGCTCATTTTGTGCACTGTTACGCCCATCAATTGAATCTAATAATGTCAAGAGCATGTTCTATTAATTCCCAAGTACGCGTATTTTTTGGAGATTTACATGATATACCTGGATTTTTTAGTCATTCACCTCAAAGAATAGCTGTCTTAAATCAAATAGTTGGAAAAAATATTCCTCGTTCAATCCCTACACGCTGGAATTTCAATATTCGTACAGTAAATGTCGTTTACGAATATAGAGACTTTATTATTGAGTGTATGGAGCAACTAGAAGAAGAGTCAAATGCTATTACTTCCAAGGAAGCAAGAGGACTTAGACGTATTCTGGAAGATCAAAATTTTACTTTCTGGCTGACTGTTTTTCATTATATTATGCCACATGTTGACGTTTTGTACAATAATCTTCAAAAAAAGAACATGGACCCAACCGAAGCACAGAAAGCTATACATGTTTTTGAGCAAAGTATTAACAATATCCGAAATAAAATAGACCCTATCATACATCAAGCTTCAAATTTAAATGCGGCGCCTAGTGTCCAAAAAAGGAAACGCCCAAATAACAGCCAACAGGATCACCGTATTGCCTGTCTAGAAGTTTGTGATGTTATTATAAACAATGCAAAAGAACGGTTTGCATATACAAATCATCTAGTTGCCGCAACACTTTTATCTTCAGAACATTTCGAAAAATATAATAATAAGTTTCCTGAAAATGAATTGGATTTAACTTGTACAGCTTATAACTTCTTTGATAAAAACCGTTTGCGAACAGAACTGTCAGTTTTGTATTCCAATATCGAGTGTAGAACATTAAAAGGTGCAGTGCCTTTACTAAAATTTATAATTTCTAATAATTTAGAGGACACATTAACAGAAACCAAAAAGTTGATACAAATTCTGGTGACTACGCCAATGACCACAGCAGAAGCTGAACGTAGTTTTTCAACTTTAAAACGGATCAAAACATTTTTAAGAAATTCAATGTGCGAAGACAGATTAACAGCCCTTTCCACACTCTCGATAGAAAAAAAGTTCATCGCTTCAATACCGAACTTTAACGATAAAGTAATCGAAAAGTTTGCGAAAAAAAAGGACCGGCGTATTAATTTCCAATTTAGAAAAATGCAATAAATGTAAGTTAATCAGATTTTTATAGCATGTCGTTATTAGTTACTATTAATTAGTATTAAAGCTAATTTTATTGTTTTTGTTTTCGTATGTTATTCTATTTCTATTATTTTATATTGACCGTGGTTCATGCAGCACACCCTATAGCAGATGTCACGAGCCGCCACTGGGCCATTTACAAATGGATAATCGACAATCTATCAGACAACTATCTTATGCATCTGGTGTATCAGCTTCTAGTGTTTATCGAATTATAAAATCCCATAAATTTCATCCTTACAACACGCGATTACTTTATCAATTAAAAGAAGATAATTCTGATCGTCAATTTTGTGAAGAATTTAGTGAAATCATAAATAACAATCAATATCGATTATACAGTACGTGTTTTTCCGACGAGTGTACTTTTATGTTAACTGGCAAAGTGACTAGACATAATTATCGCTATTCGAATAACAGTAATCCTCATTTATTCATGGAGACACACACATACACAAACACCTCAGAAATAAAATGTCTGTTTAAATTTGTTAGAGGACGTTACTGATCCACTGATCACTGAAACATTGGAACCTGATAATAATCTTTTAGAGGATAAACTGTCTTTCCAACATGATGGGGCACCCCACATTGTGATATACGCGTAAGACAATTTTTTAATCAACATTTTCCAGGGCGTTGGATTGGCAGAAAGGATCCAATAGAGTGGCCGGTTAGATCACCGGATTTTTCGTCTTTGGATTTTTTTATGTGGATACCCAAATAATACGCCAAAAAAATATACGCCACTCTGATTGTAGATCTTGCAGAGTTGCGACAAAGAATTGGGACAGAATGCCAATTATTAACACCGTAGGTATTTGAAAGTGTACGAAGAAGCTTTGAAAATAGACTGTATTGTATGGAGGTTATTTCGTACATTTAATTGGTTAATCTGAATGTTTTTTGTTATTACTGATGTTTAACCAATAAATTAGTTAAATCCAAAATTAACTTTTTAGTTATTCCGTAAATTAAAAAAAATAGAGT